CCCGCTGCACGAGCCTCGTCAGACACTGGCTCCGACCCGCTGCACGAGCCTCGCAAACACTGGCTCCGACCCAGTGCACGAGCCTCGCAAACACTGGCTCATAAGTGGTTCTGTCAGTGAAGTGTTTCAGATTCACAGATTGTGAAGGATCTGCACTTAAGAGAGGCTTCATTCGGACAGTTTTGGAGGCTTTCAGAACCTGTTATGACTAATGTCTATTTATAGCTGGTCTGGGATTCTAAGCTTTTGTTTTGTTTTCTGAGGCTGTAAGAAAGGATTGTTGTTGAGAAACTCCCAAGAATATAGACAATATTTTAAAAATTAAGCAGAAATGTGGAGTAGCGGTTAGCAGTCTAAATGTCCAAATGGGGAGGTGGGGAGGTGGGGAGGTGGGGGGGCTCACAGGTTCAAATCCCAGGTGAGGTGCAGCTGTTGTACCCTTAAGTAAGGTGCTTCACTTTCATTCCTCCAGCAGACTGAGTACAGTACTGAGAAGTGGGAGCTTTCCAGCTCATCACAGCCAATGAGCAGTTGTTTTGAAAGGGCTTACTTGGTGAAATGAGATCTTCCCTTAAAGCAAGCTTATTATGCAGGAACGTCACTCAGAGGACTATGGAAGGGATCACTGGTGATTCATCTGTGCATTTCTGACAGCTCTGCTGTGTGGTTTCACAGCCTTTGGCAGGCCTCCTGTGCAGAAGAGGTATCGGCTTCATTGGGTTTGCTCCTGGCTATAGTCATCGTACAGGTAGTGGACAAAAACATGGAAACACCTGAGTAAAAGGGGGACACCAAGGTTACTGAGAGCTAGGTCTTCCACACAGGTGTGGTTAATGCATTAAGTAGCATCCCAGCATACATAAGGTCACAGATGAAAATGCTGGGCAGGACTGGTGGTCTATAATTGTGACTGCTAGAAACGTCTTCATAAGGACCCATCTGTGAAAGTAATACAAATCTAGACTGTCACCAGTTGTTCTCTGTATGTGTTCAAGGTGGAAATGACCTGGTCAGAGGGCTGCTGTTTTGTGGAGTGGGTGACTGTAGGGAGGGAATGAGTCTCAGCTGCCTCTGGATCTTCCTGCTGTTGATCCCCGTTGGTGTTGGACTGCGGACCCTTGATCTCTTGTCTGTCTTCTCCTGTCCCACAGGGAGTCCTTCCAGAGCTGTGTCCACGATGTCCCTCTCAGTGCGCCCATCCCGTCGCATCCTCTCCACCCCCATCACTAGGAGTCAGTCGTTTGCCGGAGTCAACTCCTCCCACGACAAGCCTTACAGGTCAGTGAGGGCTATCCAGCCCACTTTGCTTCACTTTCTGTACACGCATGTAAACACACAATCCAGCCCACTTCGCTTCACTTTCTGTACACGCATGTAAACACACAATCCAGCCCACTTCACTTTCTATAATCACGTTGTTGATGTGAGCATCTCCACAAGGCCATTTGGTTTTGAATATCAATTTTAAAGTGCAAGAGTAAAAACTTGTTTGGAACAAGTGATTAAAAACAAATGAGTTCTGATTTCAAGTCAGTTTGCATTTGCTTGACTGCAACACTTGTTATAAAGATTTGAGTAATCCTCCTTTACAGGTTCAGACGGTGTGTGCAGTGTCGTAGATTAAATTAAGACTTTCACCAAGGGTTCTTTGGGGTCCTTTCTTTTTACTGTTCTTGACACCGACAACCTTGTATTAAATTTCCTCTGAGTATGATATGTAGTGTAACTGATCTTGGGGTGAGGTGTGATTTCTGTGGTGACATCTCAGATCTGAGTCCCACAGTCTCACACGGGGGAGAATGAGGAAAAGTGCACCTACAAGAATATAAGAATTCGGATGAAAAGCATATTAATTTTCTGGTGTTATTTGTTGTTGTATATATTGAGCTCTTAAAAGTAAAGTTCAAATCAGACTCTGCAGGAGAAAAAACAAAAACATTTGTTCTCATGCTGCTATAGCACAGACATTAACTTTCAGCGTCTGGAGTAAAGATGTGGGTATTTAAAACTAAGCCTACACCCTGACAGCAAGCCACACCTGACAGGAAGTCTACAGAGCCCACGCCATCCATTTCCTGTTAGCTGCTGTCTCTCTCTCCACGGTCGATGGCTTGAAAGCAGATGATGGAAAAGATCAGTCTGGTTTATTCTTAATAGCTCAGACACAGCCTTGCTTTTCGATAAATTTACAGGAAGGAAGCTAGATTCACTCCCAACAACCCTGGAGGCTGGCTTAATTGAAACTTTGTTGGGAGAAAAATGTCGCTGGTCTTGTATTCTGCGGAAAGCTTTCTGATTTCAATCAAAAGAATGGGGGGTTCTGTTTCATTTCACTACTTGAAAAACTTCATGAGAACCAACATCATTTCTCTAGATTGAATGTTGTTTGTTTTTCATGTAATGTCACCTTTTAAAACTTGAGTAATGATTGAGAGCCATTTTCTGGTCCAATGGAAGGCAGAGACATAAGAAATAGAGAGCAGGAAACACTGGAGAGTGCAACTGGAGTGTCCTCCATCCGTGATGGGGAAAATTGGTATGCTGGTATTTTTGTAGTGCTGTGAAGTGGATGTCTTTCCTGTTATGCTTAATCTGCACAGCTCCTGTTCCCACACCAGGACGGCCAGGGGTCAGTTAAGGAAAATAAACTTACCGTGTTTGTCTTAGGAACTCGGTTATCACTTGTTACTCAACAACGCTGTTTGGAGAAACCTTGGATAACACGAAAAACTGCAGCCGATGTGATTCTACAGAGAGAAAAATGAACAGGGAGTTAAATATCCTAATTGAAAACAAATGGGTTTCACATGCCATTTGCCTTCACCAACAAGCCCCTTTCAACCCTCCCAGAACAAAGCAAATTACACCCAGGAGATCTGGATGAAGAGTCCATATTTACAGCTCTAATCCTTTGCAGACTGTCCTGTAATTTTACTTTAAATAGCAGGACGCTGTAGAGAATGATCACAGTGTTGTTTGACAAGCATTTTTAATTGTTGGTCCGACGCGCCTCTCTGTGTTTTGTTTGCTCTTGCTGCACTGTGCTCTCTCTCGAGTACATGAGCCTGCGGCTCCTGCAGCTGAGACCTCTGGGCCTGAGCAGCCCTGCAGACAAGTGTCCAGCAGTAGACTGGCTGCCTGCATGCACGCCGGGCTAATCTGGTCTGCTGGGAATGGGAGGGAGCAGAAAGAGGGGTAACTCTGGCCCCTGCAGTGGCAGAGGTATAAGAAATAGAGGAGTGCAGCTGAACTGTAGCTCCCGAGTCCTCGTGCCGAGGAATGAAGGTGCTGGCTCCCTTCCTGCTGTCTCACCCAGAGGCCGTGTCGGTCACTGCCAGACTGGAGGATGACGACGTTTGTTTTACCCCTCTTTTGACAATGGAATTTACAAATTTCCGTTTGTGCTTCTGGCATTTCTGGCATTTCATTCTCTGTGCTTTTCTTGGTAAAAACAGCTCATTTTGAGTGCTGACCAAAGCCAGGCGGATGACGGCACAGAAGGTGTCTCCATCGATCCGATCTTGTTGTCACGGTGCCCTCTGACGCCAGCAGAGCACCCATCCTGCCCTAGGACTGGGGAGTGGAGCGCTTGAGCCCTTCTGTGGTGGGCTGGGGACCCAGGAGGTGCTCCCCTCTGGAGGCCGAGCTGCAGGACGTAGGAAAGTGAGGCTCGGAAAGCTGCAGCATGCAGGCTCTGATCCTCAGCAGCAGTACCAGTTGTTGCAGGAAACCAGAGTAACGCGCTTTTGTGCACATGAGGCAGCTTCTGCACATGGTGCACAACAGCGGCAGAGCTGGGAATAGGACTTTGAGATGTTCTGAGCTGAAGCTCTGAGAATTGTTTGAATCCTTTTCTGAATTCTAGTTGGCAATGACCAGGTTAAGAGCTAATGGTATCTGTTTTCGTAGAGCAGTAGAAACGGTGTTGTACCTATTTCAGCCGATGGGCGTTGTGGGTTTGAGGGCTGGGATGGCCACTGGGGGTGAGGGTGGGGTGTGGTGCATGTGTGGAGCTGCTGACCTGTGCTTTGTTTCGGGGCAGGAACCTGTCGGTGTTCAGCACCCCTGCGTGCCCCAGAAGGACGCCCTCGCGCAGCAGCAGGATGTTCACCCTGTCTACCAAGTCTCCGCCCCCCAAGGTCCCGCAGCCCGAGCGGCTGGATGAGGTCTACGAGGCACTGAAGAGAGGCCTGCAGTAAGAATGGACCCCGCCCCCTTCGCAGAACATCCCCGCCCCTTTTACAGTGTAGCCCCGCCCCATTCGCAGTGCGCCATTCCACAGCGCAGTTAATGTCTCCAACGCATGTGGAGCTTTCAGGGTCTTTTTTTAAGGGATTGTTTTTTATTTATTCATTTTAACAACCTCGGTGTGCCAGTGAACGGAAAAATAAAACGTTTTCCTTGATTTCCTGGCGAGTGGACCCTGCTGACCGGACGGGCGCGGCCCAGCCCGCGTGGGTGCACAGCTTCTGCATGAACTCCCTCCCGTGTAACTTGCCCTGCAGGTTCTGATGAAAAGAAGGGGGGGTGGGGGTGGAGCTGGGGTCGCAGAGCCAGGGCCAGTTTTGTTTTTGTTGTCAACCCGGAGACGTCTCTCCTGTTTGAGAACTGATGTGTCTGGTGGCTGTCCCCCTCAGGGCCTACCTGCAGGTCCACCAGCTGGAGCTGGACAGCCTGAGCCGGCAGATGAGGGAGTCCAAGAGGAACTCCCGGCTGGTGAGTCCCGACACGCCCCCGCTAGCTCTAGCCTTGCTCGCATGTCTGCATTCATGTCCGTTGGATGGACAGACTCCTTCCACAGTGATTTTCTGCTCAGGCCTGAACGTTTTGTGTTAAGCGTGTGCCACCACTTCGTTGCTCAGAGCACATCCGAGCACCCTGGAGTTGAACAGGAATGTAAGTGAAGTCCTTTATCCCCTCCTGCTGTCTCATTGTACAGGAAGAACAGCTCTGTACAGGAAGAACAGCTGGGCCGAGTTAGATTTTCAGTTGATGTTTAAAAATATACTTTTAAAATAACCGTTGCAATTCGCTGAAATTGTTTCTCGTCTACAGATTTATACAATTTTACCTTGTGTTGCCTGAGAGCCTAAAACAGGACCAGTTCAGTGCTGCTTATCTGTGTGTTTGTTTTTGTTTTTCTAGATAATAAGAACTTTATTCGTTCTGTTTCATTTGCAGGGCTTTTTGTATGAACTGGACAAGGTGAGAATGTTTCTTCTGTTTCTTCAATTGGGTTTCTAAACCTTTCTCTCCTCTTCAGTTTGCATCTCATTGTCTGATGTGTCTAAATGCAGGGGGCTCCTCGTGCGGGGTGCCCCCTCGGGGCTCCTCGTGCGGGGTGCTCCTGGGGGCTCCTCGTGCGGCCGGCTCCCGGGGCTCCTCGTGCGGCCGGCTCCCGGGGCTCCTCGTGCGGCCGGCTCCCGGGGCTCCTCGTGCGGCCGGCTCCCGGGGCTCCTCGTGCGGCCGGCTCCCGGGGGCTGCTCGTGCGGCCGGCTCCCAGGGGCTGCTCGTGCGGGGTGCTCCAGGGGCTCCATTTTCCTTTCTCCGGGGGTGGTCAGGGTTGGTTTTGGGCTGTCTCGATGGTAACTCTTGTTTGCTTTCAACAGCAAGTGAAGGCGATTGAGAGGTTCATGCGCAGGCTGGAGTTTCACCAGAGTAAGGTAAGAGCAGCTGGATGCCAGAAGTGTGTCCGAGTCAGTGAGCTTCCTGAGTCAAACGTGTGCACCAGGTGGGGTGGAGTTATCCGTGTCCACTTCTCCCACAGACTAATGTTTCTGTTAAAGTTTTCCCAGGTCTCGTCTCTGTAGCTGAGTTCAGTTCTCTTACGCCAGGTGGCGTATGGTAGCTGGAACAGTTAAGAGAACGAGACAGCAGTTCTCAGAAACGCTGTCAGCGGGATTTAGTATTTTCAAGTTCAAGTACTCTGACAGCCACTAAAGCACTACCAGATGGGCAGGGAGCTGATTGGAGAACCAGAGCTGTAGATGTGGTAAACATGAAAGAGCTTTGTTGTGTCTTTCTGGTCCTTGCAGTTGCCTCTGCACTGAAGGAACTGCAGGTGTTTGTGGGTTATTTGCAACAGGGTCCTGTGAGTCCAAGACCTGTCTAGTAAAAGCCCAGTCTTGTATACCAAGGGGAAAGTGACAGTAATTGCTTCTTCTCCAGAGATCATCATACTACTATTAATTTCTCTGGCTTATGCTTTTGGCAAACTGGAGTTTGCAGCCAGTTATACTGCTGGGTTTTTTTTTACTGGAACCATTTGGGTGTGGTGCTTTTGTCCAGAGTACAACCTGGGGATTGAACCCACAATCTTCTAGTTGTGTGCTCCAGAACCTTGAAAACTGCTCCATGCTGTTGCCCTGCGTAAGGGCAATTTTAATTGCTCAGGGGGGACTGCAGTTCTGCTGTTGCAGTGCTGAGATTTAATTGGTTCTCCCCAAAAAAGTTATATAACAGGTTATATAATGAGCTGAAGGTCCTCCTGTTGATTGTAACCATTCTTACATTCTTATCTGAAACATGTGGCTGCCTTCACTGGACACTGGGAATCTGGTCTCTCTCATTTTACTTAACTACCTTAATACGGAGAGACACTGCTGTCCACAGTCTCAAGTAAATCCCTCCATGTGAACTCAGCAGGTTTTACGTGAGGATCTCAGGAAGGAGGAGCAATCAGACATTTTTATTCTGCATTGTTTATATACCGTACAACATCTGGTGTTTTTCTGAGCGTCTCTGGATGTCCAGTGAATATTTACCTGACTTGAAGTAGGTGCCTTTTCTGAAGCGAGTGGCTCAGGGACAATACGATAAAACCACAGCTGTTTGCAAGAAAAGTGAATGACATTCCCTCAGTCCTGCAGAGGGATGAGGGCAAGGGCCAGCAGGCAGGATCACTTCAGCAGCATCTGAAGTTTCCCCGAATAAAGTATTTTTATGGACTGCTTCCCCAGTCTCTGGGAAGAACAGCTCTTTTTCTCTGGATAAGTTATTAAGGAAGGCGGGGGGGGGGGAGTCTGGATGGTAAAGATCAGGTTTCGTGAGAAGAGAGCTAGAACTCCGGCTCATTGAAGAAAAAAAGATTACTCTCTGAAATCCCAAAGGAGACTTGGAGATGAATATTTCAGGTTATGCACAGGTAGTGGGTGATTTCAGAGGCTCAGAAATGGAGCACTTTCCTCCAGGTAATTCAGGGACCTGGACTGAAGGAGAGAAAATAGCATGGAGAATGGCACTTTAAATGGAAAAGGATGGACACAAGCTGTAGGGAAGTGCAATGTTAAGAGAGAAAATGCATTTTGCTAATAAAATCTCTCTTCGGGAAGACTTCTAGTGAATGGGTGTTTTAGAATGAAAACCCTTCTCTGTTTACTCATTCATTTTTAATCTTGGTACATCCACTTTGACAAATCCTAGTGCTTTTGTAGGCTTTATCTCCTGAGAGGAACACATTGCTCTGTGAGGCTTCTCAAGCTGACCCAGTCCTGACCAGGCATCTTTTCTGTTCTCTGCAAAGTCTGTTGCCTGTTTTGGCTTTCCGGTTTGCTTTGACTAATGAGTCTTTTCAACCCCTTTGTGACCCCTGTTGGTAAATATTGATTACATGTGAAAACCCTGTCTAAATATTGTCCCGTTAAAAGCTTACGCAATTAAAAACAACAAAACCCCACAGCAGGAAGGAGTTGTTGTATATACAGGGCGATGAAATGCCTGCAGCTGGGCTTTTTCAGGCTGGAGAAGTCTCTCTTCTGCGTGTTCGGGTGAAACCGGGGGTACAGCCCTACCTCTGGCTGGGTCTCCTTCCACGCGGAGCGCGGTGTTGACGCGCCGGCCCGACTGCGTTTCAGATCGACGAGCTGTACGAGGCCTACTGCATGCAGCGCCGGCTGAGGGACGGGGCCAACAAAATGGTGAAGGCCTACACCGCCTCCCCGGGCAGCCGCGAGGCCCGAGAGAGCCTGTCCGAGGCCAACAAGGGCTACAAGGAGTACACGGAGGTGAGGCGGGGCGACCCGGGCACCCCACACCCGCACACCCGACAGTTCTTCTTGAGCCCCGGGACTAGAACAGTTCCCAAAACTTAATCAATTCCTTAATAACTCTGTCATTTACAGTTCAAATCATGTTCCGTTCAGATTGGAATCCGTACCCCTGAACTCGACAGTAACAATACGGGAGTTCTTTTTCATCCTGTACTTGGATACTTCGAGCTGACATAAAACAATCCCTGAGCTTGTTTCCTGTCCAGGTTGTTCAGATGTGCCCCATTTCAAGCGCTTCCCTGACCAAGGATTGCGATCAGTTTTCCCCCAGTTCATCAGGATAAATCCATGAAGCAAGGCAAAATTCTGTTACAGTCTATAGTCAAAGACAGCTTTTTGTTACCTTTACCTTCTGTTAAACTAGTAAACAGGCCTGTTTCCATCAAGTATTTTACCTACATTAATTTTTTTAGGGCTCTAAAGATTCAGGCTCATTGCACGCATTAGTGCACTCCAGTGTCAGACTATGGTGGGGGCCTCTCCCAGATTATATACCATCCAACGGTCAAACAAGTAGTATGCTGGTCACACCACACTCCTGCTATGGCAAGAACAGGCAGCCTCTGGTGTATACTGACTTGTGTCTGCAGCACTAACGCTCCACTCTGACTGTGACAGCCAGCTTGTCTGAGGAAAGACTGAGCTGACAGAACTGTGTTTGACTGTCTTTGCGTTATTTAATAATATTTGCACACACGCGTTCATTGGAAACGTTTGTTTATTTCCTTATGCCTTTGCACAAGAGAGGAAGAGATTTGACCCATAATTCCTGTTGGGTCCCGTCTCTCAATAGTCCCAGCCTCAACACCTTGTTCCGCCTCGAACCCCTCTTGGAGAAGGACAGTTGAGCTTAGCCGGTCGTGGTCAAAGTCCACCTGCATGTTTGTGGGGGCCTCCATGCTGATTCCTGTCAGCTCTGCCCTTACCTCCTCCGTATACAGTGCTTTACTCACTCAGATCACTTCAGACCACAGCTGGCCTTGTGATAGGCTGGCTGGTGCCAGTGTAGGAGAGGCATTCCAGGCTTCACGAGAATCCTGACAAGTGAGCCCAGTGGGGGAATAAAAAAGTGTCTGTCCTTAACTGGGGTGTTTTCCCTCTCCGTACAGAACATGTGCATGCTGGAGAGCGAGCTGGAGAGCCAGCTGGGAGAGTTCCACGTGAAGATGAAGGGTAAGTCCGTGAGCCGTGTCTGGGGCGCTAGCGCCGTCACGGTCCTGACGACACCCCCGGGGGAATTTGACCCCGATGGCACAGCGGCAGGAGTAAAATACCAGGTCCAGGCACCGCCAAGCCGTGAACAATCCAGGAGAGGTGACGAGAAAGCCCATCGGCGGCCTGCCCATCCTGCACAGCCGTGAGGTCATGGAACGTCCAGCCAGTGGCGGGAGTGGGGATTGCAGGTTGCCTAGCAACCAAGATGGGCTCCCACATGGTGGAAGGAAGCCGAGTCCTCGGGGCTGGGCGGATCCCAGCACTGCCCTCCCCAGGAAGGACCCTCCCTTCCAGCACTGGCGCAGACCGGGGGAATTCAGCAGTGTGTCAGAAGAAAGGGAAAGAAAAGTCAAATAGGGAACCGGAATACTGTCATGAAGTCTGGGAGTCGCTTTGGAAATGTTTCCCCCATTCATTAACCTTTTTAACAGGGGCTAGTGAAAACCTCGAACTAGTCGAGACATGTGCTTACATGTCACCCTTTTCGTGGCGACTGAGACCGTGTAGTATTTTTTAAAATTATCCCGGCTTCACTTTTTTCCCCTTCAAGTTTCTTCCAGGAATTTTCCTTGTTTTTGTTTTTGTCCTAAATCTGGACAATAAAATCGAAATGTTCTGCTACGGTCACGGTGGCTCGGATAAGAACAATTTGTGAATAGACCGGCTCGCATCCCTTCGCAGTGTAAGCCAGCCCCCTGTCTTATGAAAATATTTTTCCAGCGCCGTCCAGCTGTGACTCCTTGCCCTGGGGGATGTGGCCTGGCCTAGATAAAGGACGGCGGCCCTGTGTGGGAGGGGCAAAGCGACTGCTACTGCCACAGAAAGGGGAGACGTTGAATCTAGCCGTGCAGAGGATAGGGGGTCACTCTTCCCGGACAGGGTGAAATTGGGGAGCCCTGAGTCTGAAGGCAGAGGTGCCCCCATCTCCATCTCCAGTCATTATGACAGCTGCAGTCAGTGTTCCGCCAGGGCACTAACAAGGCACAAGAGGGAACTTCTCAGCCCTTTAGATACAAAGTGAAACTAATCTTCAGCTTTTTAATGGGTTTCCTAATTGTCTTTCTTCTCTTTTCCTTATGTAGTTTTATTAGAAAGTAGAGCATCCCAGATTGAGAAAAGAGAAATTAGATTCTTGATAATGTGGTAATTAGCCAGCGTATGGACAGATCATCTAATTTTAGACATTGGGTGGAAAAAAACAAATCTACTGAGACACAGAGTGTTTTGGCGAGTTTAATTTGTCTCTCATTTCTGGTATCTTATTTTTAAATGCTACTTATAAACATCTGTCCTTGTTCACCCCACAATGGAGCTTTTTAAAAAAATGTTTCAGAAGACTTTAGTTGAAGTAGATGCGCTGTAATATGTACACCCCTTAGTCAGCAATCCATCAGCACAAAACCTGTGCAGACATAAGCCTCATAAAGGGATCCGAACACGAGGAAGGTTATAAACGAGAGGGGGCCCATTCTGCCTCTCTAGCCCATCTGGTAGTGATAAGCTCCTTGATTCAAAGATCTCATTTAGCCTGCTGGATAAAGGCCTGGGTATTGACTTCAACAAAACAACATTGCCGGGAAGCTTGTTCCAGACTCCTACCACTCCTTGTGAAAAGAAGTGCCTCCTGCCCTAATGGGAGGATCTTGTAAGGAGATGAGCGAGGATGGCGGCGCGCGCTGGTGTGTTTGATGTCGGGGCGCAGATGAACAAGGATGCCAGTGTGCGTAGGGTTGGCTGGTGTGTTTGATATCGGGGCGGTGTCTCACTGTCTGCCCTTCCTCTATTCCAGGGCTGGCCGGTTTCGCTAGGCTGTGCGCTGGTGACCAGTATGAGGTAAGAGGACCAGCTACACCGCGGCAGATCTGATGATGCGTATCCCTCTTCTGGACCTTTCTTGGGTTTAGTGTTGTGCTAGCTGGGGTTTTGGGTTGGGTACAGGCTAGTGTCAGAGCTGGACCAAGGTTTAGGGCCCGATTGTAGGTCTAGGGTTGGATTCTGGTTGGGGCTGGGACTAGGATTGCAGTTTTAGAAAGAAGATAAGAAGATTTTTTTAAAATGTCAGATTATTACATTTACTTTACAGCTCTGCTTAAAAGGGAACTGCTGTCCCAGTTTCTCAGACCGGTCATTCAATTTCTATCGCAAAATAAATTGACATTATTGCAAAGTTTTATAGATTCCGAATTAAGCACAAAATGGTGAACTTTGTGGAAGGACTGTTTTGTTGCCATACTGTCGCAAACTGCTGGTCCTACCACAGGCGAGAGTGAAAGTTCACAAGAACTACGATGTGAAGCTGCTCTTCCTTCTCACTAGTCGCTGTAATGACTAATGTACTGTGATGTACAGGTTGGGCAGCAGACAGTTCACCACAGAAATGTTACGGCTTGATCTGCATGCAGAGTTAAGTAGTATTTGTCGACAAAATCGTCTCAAACTCGAGTGCAGTATTTCTCTTGGATTAAAAGAGACTCACGAGCCTGGTAGTTTACTATGTAATAGGGCTGGTTCATGTTTTTTCCTGAAGAAAAAAAAAACAGAATATGAATGGATTTCAGTAAACTTTGTTTTGAATTAACGTTATAATCCCCCCAAAAAACTTTTTATTACAACAGGGTCTCCAGCTCCTCTACTGGAGGGCTGAGGTGTCGTTAGTCCAATATAAATGTCACAGATCTGAGGGATTTAAATGAAACCTCGGAAGCTTGCATGCCTCTGGTTTTAGTCGATAGTGAAACTGCTGTGTGGAAGTACCAGGCTGTGACACAGTGGTTGACCTCTGACCTTCTCAGATCTTCATGAAATACGGGCGCCAGAGGTGGAAGTTGAGGGGCCGAATCGAGATCAACGGCAAGCAGGTGTGGGACAGCGAGGACATGGTCTTCCTGCCACTCATCACCGAGTTCCTGTCCATCAAGGTAAAGGGACAGGAAGTCCCTCCCGCTTTCTGTGCAGGCCTGGTAGTGTTGTCTTTCTATCTTTAGAAAAAAAAAATTAGGACCACCAGTTGTTTTGTTTTGTTCTCTTACCGTCCCGATGTGGAATCGCCAGTTTAGTCTTTACCTTCTCGACTCGTGGCGACAACATGGGGAGAGAGAGGAAGGGCAGCCGGGCTCCAGCCCTTCATTCCACCTCAAGCTGTCCTGCCACGTGCAGGAAGTTCAGTTCTGATTGGAGGAGAGGCGTGTCCTTCACCGACGTCAACATGCGCCTGCAGTAACCCTGAAATTTGCCAGGATTGCAGTTCCTGCTTGGACCCCAGCAGCTCCTTGTGTGCTGAGGTTTGGGAACCCCAGTACAGTTGGCGAGTGGCATCATCCACACTAGAATTTTACCGGGATCGGAAAGCATAAAGCGGATTTTATGAAGAGATCATTGCGTCTTCCCCAGGATCTGTACATAGACCCTTTCTGAGGTGGACTGAGCCAGCAGGACCAGGAGAAAAATGTGTGAAAGACAGCATTTTGGGACTTCCTTGGTTTTTGTTTTTCCATTCCACATTCCAGACTTGGAATTTTCCAGAAGCTTTTTTTTATTTGAATTATTTGTTTTTTGTTAGAAGGGCTTCTTCCTGTTTATAAAATGGATTCATGTGGTGAAAGATACAGCTGGGGGGGGTGGAGTCCAAGCTTGTTCCTCCCTGCAGATGTTCAGCTTTGCTCAGCGGACCTGTTGGAAGACCCTAGAAGTGCTTTGTCCAGCCCTGGTCCTGGAAAACGTGCGTGTTTTAATGAGCTAGACCGGCTGGAGACTGGCTTCACTGGACTAATGTAAACAGTTTCTCCCGGCTCTACAGATGCTGCTGCTTCAAAGAGACCTTGAAACCCTGCAGACACTCCAGCCCTCCGGGAACAGGGCTGGTCTCCCGTGATTTAGTACACCTGGCTACAGACTGACTTGATGGAGAATGTAGTCTTGCACTGTGCTGTGTTTAAACCTGTCTCAGCTCTCGCAGAGCAGATCAGCACTCTCAGCCACAGAGTCAGTCACTCTGTATCAGTGGTTGGAGGAACCAGGCATCTAAGGATCTGGCACCTTTGCTCGTTGTAACACTGTAGATAAATTGGGTCAAGCATTTGTTGTGCAGTCCTCTTCAGTTAAGCTCTCCTCCTATTACCGTCAGTAACTGTCCAGCTGTGGCTGCTGAACAGAATGCCGAGGTCATGTAAGGATGCAGTTCCTGGCACTACCTCACAGTGCTCACCTGGCTTCACCATTGCAGCACCGACTGAGCCCTAGCAGGTGAAATGAGCATGGGCCCTGTCTGCACCTCTGTAGAGAGCAGGTCACGAGAGAATTGCCCTCAGAGAATGCATATGCATGCTTTCACCTACACTCATAAAGGCAGCTGATTTTGGGAACGATGTCCAGTCATTTCAAAGTGACCAGCCAAACTGGAGTCGTTAATCGAGAATATCTTTTTGCAGCAGTTGCTTACAGACTTCCTGTTTCCCTAAATTCCTAACATGCAGACTGTAAATATACCGTATGGCTCCTGATACCCAGGTAGTGCATTAGAATGAAGCAAAGGGCCACAAAATCACCACCAGTCCAAGAGCAGGATGCTCTCGGGCTGAAACCCAGTGGAGGAGGAACACTAATGAGCTGAACAATGTCTTTCCCAGGTGACAGAGCTGAAGAGCCTGGCTAATCACGTGGTAGTGGGGAATGTGTCATGTGAAACCAAGGACCTGTTTGCAGCCCTTCCCCAGACTGTGGCTGTGGACATCAATGACCTGGGCACCATCAAACTCAGCCTGGAGGTCTCCTGGAAGTCAGTACTACAGCTCCTTCTTTCTGTAGTGTGTGTGTGTGTATATATATAGAATATCCTTGTTAATACCAGTGCTTCCCAGCATTCCCAGGGTTGATTCTGTCTGAGCACCTCCGGTGTGTAGTGTGCATGATCTCGTCCGGGACAGGGTGGGTTTCTCTGTAGGCTTGGGTTTCCTCCCACAGTCCAAGAAGCATGCCGACTCAGACACTGGTGTCTCTAAATGATCACTGGTAGATGTGCGTGCAAGAGCCCTGTGAATGGGCTGGCATCCCAGCTGGGGGTTCCCAGCCTTGTGCCCACTGTCTGCCAGGCTCCTTCCACCTTTATTAGATTGCCCAGTCTTTGAAAATGGACGTAGGGATATTTAATTCCCCTAGCATGCAAAAGAAGAAAAAAACAATTCAGTTTTTATCATGGAGTGAGCCTTCTAACTGGCCTCCCTTTCTTACAGTACTAGAGTCCATCAGTCTTTGAGCAGGCCTCATTCGTCCTTATTTCAGTCAGGTTGCTCTAGTTGAGCCATGCGAGTTGGCACTGGAGGCAGTGATGAAAGGCCAGTGTTGCAGCCTCTCCTCTCTTTAATTTCAGTCCATTCGATAAGGACGACCAGGCCACCACTGCCAGCACCGTCAACAAAGCTTCCACAGTCAACAAGAGGTTCTCTACCTACAACCAGAGCCCCCCAGACACCCCTTCCCTGCGAGAACAAGCCTTCTATGTAAGTTCATTCATGTTTCTCGTGGTCTGTGTGTTACAGATGGCACATCTAGCCCAGTATGTATTGTACAGCTGCCTACAGGAGGTCGGCTCAGAACAACTTCCAGGTCACCTAGCTGACTAAAGCTGTACAGGATTCTTATTTCTGCAAAAGCTGTGGTTTTAAAGGAGATGAGCATTTGCTCTTCTCTGCCTATTGTTCTCGCTCTAAAGGGGATTAAATTCACATTTCACATTCAATTAAAGCTTTCTGAGCTGTTGAAAGTGTTCTGCTATTACAGGCTATATTGCATCTTCATTCTTGGGCTACATGCGTTAACCAGGCTCTCTCCAGTACCTGTTTTAGCCATTGCTGCTCCTGGAAAAGCAGCCCATCTTTTTAATACTCATTAAAGGATTGAAAAGGACAGGCCCACAATTAAGTTTCACAAGATGTTTTTGTCAGCCAGAGTATCTCTTACATAGCAGATTTGTTTTGGTGGTGATAGAGTGAAGTGCTAGCAAACAATGGTTATTTTGACTGTCCTGTTCACTTAATCCTACAAGAACCCTCCTCGAACCGATACAGAAAAACGCAGGTGGTCCTTGCTGGATGTTTTCCGGGAGACCCTTGCTGAAAAACTGTCTCAGAGTTGCTCGTGCGGTGATGTCACGTCTGTCCCTCTTGCCTGTGCTGGTAACGTGCAGCTGAGCGTAAGTGGGTGTAAGACAGTATGAGTGTAAGACAGTAGGCAAGCTAGATGCCTGGTAGCCCAGTTTTGCAGTAGCTGTAATCGGAGCCACCACAGCGGAGTTTACCACCAGAATCCTTCCCTCCCTTATTTTGCAGTATTTCATTTCAGCTCTTTAAAGAATTGTTTCTGTATTTCACATCTCAAGAGTTTTTTTCCTGGAACAACCTAATTATTTCATCTGTGGAAAGAGGATGAATCCATCCACCCAGCCATTCTTTCACCCAATCTCTGTGTGCGTGTCCTGGTTGATGGTCTGTTTACTCTCCAGGAAGTCTGACCCTATGTCCTCCAAGATTGTGGTGGCTCAGATACCGGTCTAGTAGCCTGCTGGCCTGAGACCCTGTAGCCCTGCTTCATGCTGTGATGAATCACACAGACCCACACTCTTCCCAGCTCCCTTTTGTGTTGTGAACTTTCTGTGGGGACTTTGGCTGCTGTTCAGAATTTCTTAACTAAATTTATTTACCACGTGTTCGGTGTGGAGCGATGTAGTGCTTTCTGCAGCTTGTCATAAATGAGTCCTAATTTGAACTAGAATACTTCCAAATGTCCAGAATAGATATGACATTTGGAAGCAATACTGAAGCCTCCTGCATGTTTTCTTTCACTGATTCTGACAGCCCTCCTTGTCTACAGGCACTTGCATTAGCTTCTGGAAGGGTGCTTTGCAGATTTCTGAGCAGAATTAGCCAATTCAAGTGCGGAACCCAAATCAAGCAAACGCATGGCTGAGTGTGACTCGATTGCATCTGGACAGTATTGCCCAAAAGCTCAAGCAGGAGAGGAGGCAACACTTAAGATTACTTTATTGGCCACATACAATTTCTTGCATGAAGGATTTGTCTTTTCGCAGACCCCAGCTTGCTCTCCATGAGACGCACAGACAGGGAGAGAAGCTGGGGGTCAGAGCGCAGGGTCAGCCATTGTACAGCACCCCTGGAGCAGTCAGGGTTAAGGGCCTTGCTCAGGGGCCCGACGGAGTAGGATTCCTCTGCCGGCCGTGGGATTTGAACCAGCAACCAGCCACAGGCGCAGATCCTGAGCCACAGTGCCACCGCTCCGCTTGCCAGCAGGGGCAGCTGTCGTGTCTTCCTAGTCTTCTAGCAACTGCGCCCCCGTGTCCTGCCAGTACCCGTGTCTGTGTGAGCTGCCCTGCCGCTCTGCGCGCCCTCACACGCTCCCCTCCACCTCCACAGAACATGCTGCGGCGCCAGGAAGAGCTGGACAACGGCACGGCCTGGTCCAACTCCTCCGAGTCCTCGGACGACTCCTCCAGCCCGCAGCTGTCCCTCGGCCTGCGGCACGCCCACAAGACGCTGGTGCAGCCGGAGCTGCAGGCGGCCGCGCCCCCCATCCAGATCTCCTTCGCCCCCCGCGAGGCGGCCGCGGCGGCCGGGCCGGCCGGCCCGCAGGACGGGCCCCGGGGCCGGGAGGACGGAGAGGAGGAGGAGGAGGAGGAGGACGAGGAGCCGGGGGAGCAGGTGGTGTCCAACGGGCACAGCCGCTACTCCCGCTCCCTGAGCCACATCAGCGAGGCCAGCGCCGACGGCGCCGTCCCAGAGCTCCGAGCCCCCGAGTCTCCCGGCGGTCAGGCGGAGCTCGCCGACGCGGTTTCTGTCAGCGATATAGGGATGGAGCTCCCCTCCTCCCCAGAGCCAGAGCCACAGCCACAGCCTGCGGCCGCGCACGAGGCCCTCGAGCCCCCCGAGACGGCCGCCCCAGAGCCTGAGCAGCCTGCAAGGACCAACGAGGGGCTCCCTTCCACTGCGGAGGACAGGGACAGCGTCCGGACAACCAGGGACAGAGACTCGGTGGTCCTCGCGGAGCCGCAGGCGGATTGCAAGGAGGAGGCTGCCCCCCCGGAGCTGGCCACGGCCGAGACAGGGAGAGACGGTGCCCCCTCCAGAACAGAAAGTCTCTCGAGGCAGGGGGACGCCGAGGCGGGGAGGCCCGGGCTGCTGGCAGAGCCGGAGTGCAGGCCTCCTGCCAGCCCCGCAGACAGTGGCCTTGAGGAGGCTCAAAGCACCGCTGCGTCCAGGCCAAGGGAGGAGGACGCAGGAGCGCCGAGGCCGCAGCCAGTGGACAGTGGGCTGGAAGAGGCTCTCGGCACGGTCGTCTCCTTGCTGGATGACTACAGGGGCCAGTTCCCCGAGCTGCAGACCCTGGAGAAGCAGATCAGGCACCTGGAGGAGGTTCTGATGGTGAGTTTGGGTTACTGCAGCCCCATCCGCACAGACTCTTCCCCTCACGCCCTTAATCACACAGTGCTTTTGCCTTTGGCTCAGTCCTCGTAATGCAGGACAATTCATGCTTACAGTGATTCGAGAGTTTTGAATCAGTGGACGGCCCTTGCTTGACGTACGCTCCTTACTGTTGTGACGGCAAGGCTGTATTGCACCCTGCCCTCTGGGTGCCTCTGGGTCTGTGTGATTCTTGCAGAAAAGGAGCCTCAAGACATAACCGGTGGCCCAAGCCCCTCCCACCCCAGCTTCTCCTCCAGCGCCCCACTGCAGCAGGGGGGAGGGGGGGGGCACTTCCTGCCACCTTGCTGGGTGGTCCTGTCATCACACGGGGGGCAAGAGACGGGCGGGAGAGGGTCTGGTGGGGCCCTGCTTCGCTCACGTACGCACTCCCCCTGCAGCTGACCCCGCAGATTACCATCTGGGCGCAGCGCGAGGCGAGACTGGAGCACAGCCCCTCCGCGCTGGCTCCCTCCTGCGGGCTGTGAAAGGTGTCAAGGTTACCGAACGCTGGCATCATCTCAGAGGTTATAAATGAATCCCTTGGCGATGCACTCTAGTCTCTGATTTTTCTCCGGACAGAAAAATCCTGCATGCCTTTCACAAATAGGAAATGTGCCCGTGGGGATTATATTCACTGTGGTCTCCAAAGGGGCGAGTTGCTCAGCTCCTCCTGATGCTGCAGTGCGCCAGCAAATTTCCTCTCTGGCCTCAGGCAGCAGCTCTCAGTGCAGTGGCAGTGTGCTGGGCGCTCTGTCAGCTCCTGGCTGGCTCTGGCTGGCTCCAGCCATCAGTGAGGGGTGCTGGTCAAGGGGCGGGCAGAGGTGCTAGCTGGGAGACACTAATGATCCTAAAGACACCTCCTCAGCGCTGAATGAGTAGAACAGGTTCACAGCATCCTGTCTCTTAGCATAGTTAAGTGTCCACTGTGGGGGGGAACAGGGCTGTGTCCTGTTGCAGTTGTGTGTGTGGTTCTGGGGGGAAGTGTCTGCGTGTTCTTTACCCAAAGGGTTGTGGGAGTCTGGTACAAGAAAACCCAGCCCTGCTGTCAAAGCTGACCCTTTGACACGTCCCCTTTCAGGAGATGGCATAGCAAGATCCTTGGATCAATTAGCTACCACTCAATTATCGTTGTGCCACCCAATGCGCGAAACGTGCCGAACGGTCCTCCGATTGGCCTCCGTTCCCTTGCGGCTAAGCATGCGTCTGTCGTGCAGCTGGGGCAGGGCCGGACCCGCAGCAGGTCCTCCAGTATCAGCCTGGCGGTGGAGACGGCCCTGGAGAGCTTCGACTTCCTCAACACCTCGGACCTGGAGGACGAGGGTTCGGAGGCCTCGGGGGGCCAGGACCGCCGGGACAGGTGAGCCCTCTCCCCCACCTTTCGATCCTTTCATCTTCCGCCCCTCGGTCGCTCCTCCTCCTCCTCCTCCTCCTCAGTTTCCTTTATCTCTTGGCGTTTCAGCGCGAGCCCCGTCTCGAGCAGACATCCAGGCCGCAAGAGCTCTTAACAAGCACCATGGCACCGCGGTGAAAAGGAGAGAGGCTTGTTTTTCAATAATAGTGTATTTGCCCCTTTGAGGAATTAACACATAGCAACAAAAGCACCAATGTAGCAGGAAGAAGAAATATTCTCACCTCATCTGTTTACCTCTGATTTGCTGTAGACAATAGCCATCCCTTCTCACCGGAATGACCAGACTGTATTTTTTTGTCTATTTCTGGATCTTGAGGTCCATAATTTGCCTTTTTGTTAATTCACTTGTATTGCCAAGTCATGAATCGGAGAACTTCAGCGCCCTCTTGTGATAAACAGCTTAAGGACAGAAGAATTAGTTCAAAGGACTGAAAATGTAAGATGCTCTGTAACTATTGTGGAAGTTTGAAAACATGGTGTTTGTTTAAAAACTGCTTATTGTTATTTTTGTGGAAAACCTGTCCGAGGAGATGGGGAGCTGTAACGGCACCTTTAAATACGGGTGTTTCAGAAAAAACAAACACACAGTGCAATGGCAAGGGAAAAACAAACAGTGTTCCTTATTTACTGTGTGAAGAGCAACAAGCAAAAACTCCTAATCGCACAAAAAGTGGCTGGGACGCTAAGCTGCTTACTGGCTCCAAAACAAGTTTCTTACAAATCTCTTCTCAAAAATCTCTACCCTCATAGAAGAGAAAAGGTCAGTTTCTCTTCAAAAGTTAAAGCCTCGTGCTGTCATGTCCTGATTCATCAATCAGGTGACAGAAGACGGTAGGCCATTGCCCCCCCACTGCCTTCTGGGAAATGTGGTTCAATAAGAACTGCCATCTTGTCTCCAGCTACCACCACATTACATTAACGTGACTCGCAGGTGTTTCCTGTGGAGAGTGAGGAAGGGCCCCCACTCCACCCATCCAGATCTCAACTTGTAACCTTTCTTATCTCAGTATCTAACTCTGTGAAGCCAGCGCGCACTGTGCCGTTCGCTTACTCAACACGCTCTTAAAGAGGGTTGACGCCCAGCTGCCTGTGCTTGTGTGCAGTGTGCAGAGTGCGTCCCTCAGGCCTGCGGAGGAGAGCGTGCAGGAGGGGCAGATGTGCGCGCGCTGTGGGTCGTCCCCGCTGCCCCTGACCACAGGCTGCCAGACCCTGGACCAGGCGCTGGTGGCTCACCTGCAGACCTGCAGCACACAGCTTTTGGTGAGAACCCCTTTCGTGTCTCAGGGGGAAGAGC